GGGTTTAGGGGGATGGGGGTGGGGTTAGGGTTTGCGGAATCAGCCGCTCGTTGGGAACCCGTCGCCTCTGTGCGGCGAGAAGCATGAAGTTGCGGTGAGCATCGTGCTTGTGGCTGACGAGATCCACTCTATTGTCACAGTACCTAACCCTAAACCCTAAACCCTAAACCCTAAACCCTAAACCGGAAGTCGTTAACAAAACTGGACCAGTAAGTCTAGGTTTAACACTGAGGAGCCTCAACCCCTACACCCGTAAACCTCTAACCGTGACACCCCCTGAACCCTAAACACTAAACCCCAAAGCCCCGAAACCCCCAAAACCCTAAAACCCCTGAGCACCCACAACCCTAACACTCCAAACCCTAGAAAACTCCAAAACCCCGCACCCCAAGACTCTAACGCCCTGAACCCTATTTTAACGATCCAAGGGTCGGAATGATTAGTAAGAGTATCCCCTCGTAGTCCTTGTGTATTTCTAGGAAAACATACCCCAAGCCCTGTTCTGATTGTCACAGCGCCTATATTATGGTTTACGGTTTAGGGTATATGCTGAAGCACTTAAAGTCCCAACGCCCCGAACCCGAAACCAGAGATTTTCCCCTACGCCCGAAGCCCTTGGCCACAAAGCAGCGCGGTAGGCAAGGGGCTGATGGATGTCTGGGGCGAGGAGTTCGACAGGCAAGGGCAAAAGGTGGTTCGGGGTTTAGGTTTTTGGGGTTCAGGGTCTAGGTTTCTAGGGATCAGGTTTGGGTTTTAGGGTTTAGGATTAGGGTTGAGCTCTTTTGGCAACTGTTTCAAGGTTTTTTGCATTCGCTGCTTTTTTGTAATCGCTTTAGGTTTCGGTGTTCAGGGTTTGGGGGGTCTCTACTTTACGGTATAAAGTGCTTTATAGTGCTTGGCAGGAGGAGTTTCGATGTCCAGGGTCTCCATGCGTCTTTAGCCTGTGTCTTGTTCCGAAGCATAACTTAAGTTACCATAACAGCCAAAACAGGGATCCTTGTTCCGAAGCTTAACTTAAGTCACCATAACAGCCATAACAGGGATCTTCAGTAGCGAATAGTTTTCCTCTTCATGGTAACTCAATGTAAGTTCCTCAGCAAGTTGAGGTTTTTTCAGTCTAGTGCAGAGATGCTTCCTAGGGAGCCTTGTCCAGAGGAATATTGGCGTCTCTGGGTACAAGCTTAGCGGTTTTGGGTTTTGGGAGTGTCGGTGTCTAGCATGTTCTTGGAGGGTCGGGAGACTTAGTAAGTAGGTAATAAGTAGACTTATAAGTACCCTAAAAGGGACTCTAATTGGGGTTATAGTACTAAATAACCATTTACTAAGTCGGCCGATCCTCCAAGTTGAGGCTCATCGTGACATGGATTCTGAGTTTCGGGTGAGGGGTTGAGGGTGCAGGGTTTGCTGGAGCTCGCTGGCACTTTTTGTTGTGCTCCCTTCAAGTCCTATAAAGTTCAAGCATCCGCGAATGAGAACCCTAAACCCTAAACCCTACTGAAACCCTTAAACACTAGACCAATTCGGGCAGGCTGTACGAACAGCTGGAGCAAGCCGGCAAGGGCCGCAAGACGATGAAGGCGCCGCCTGTGCCGTGGTGTCTGGTAGAATATACCACCCCTGTGAACAAATATTCTGATTGTTCAGGCTCCTATACTCGGCTTTCGGCATCTGATTTCGATCCTAAGCCATAAAGCCTAAACCTCTACACCCTAAACCCCAAGCCCCAAACCCGAAACCCTAAACCCGAAACCCTAAACCCTAAACCCTAACCCAACAAACGGCAGTGAACAGGCTGACCTCCAAATTTGCTTCAAGCAAACGGCATTTCCAGGGCTCGAGATAATTGGGCTTCTTATAGAAGAGTTTGACAAAAAGGTTCTAAAAGGGTTGCGAAGGCCATTATGGAAATTAGGATTTAGGGGTTTAGGGCTTTATGGTTTAGGTGTTCAGGAGAATAGATTTTAGGGTTTAGGATCTTCAAAGCTTCGGGTTTTCAGGTTCTAACTTTAGGGGTTCAAGTTCTTCTTGGCTGGGATTGAAGTTCAGCGTTTAGGCGTTTAGGGTTTGGGCTTGCCTCGTTTTCATGGTTCAGGGTTTAGGGTACCCTAAACCCTAAACCCCTAAACCCTAAACCCTAAACCCTAAACCCTAAACCCTAAACCCTAAACCCTAAACCCTAAACCCTGGTTCAAGGTTCCGAGGTGTTCGACACTCTCAGGGATGGAGGTTGGTGGCCGAGGGAGGGTTTCACGAAACACGGATCCGACACCCGGTCGGGAGACTTAGTAAGTAGGCAATAAGTAGTCTATAAAATAACCATTTCGTAAGTCCCCCGACCCTCCAAGTAGACCTCAGGCGCAGCAGCTGTGGTTTCGCATTCTGGAAGCGCAGATGGAGACTGGCACGCCCTACATGCTGTACAAGGACCCGAAGTCTTTAGATCGCCGTTCTCAGACCCTAAACCCTAAACCCTCAACCCTAAACCCTAAACCCTAAACCCTAAACCCTAAACCCTCAACCCTAAACCCTAAACCCTAAACCATAAACCCTCAACACTAAACCCTAAGCCCAAATCTCAACAAATCAAGCCTCGAAGCCTTGAACTTCATAGACACAAACCCGACGACCCTTGCAGGAACCCAAGAAAGGAAGTCTATGATAGAAACCTATAGTACCCTTCAAAGAGGCCTTAACTGTACTTGCTACTTGGAGGTTCATGGGACTTAGTAAGTAAGGCTAGAACTATCTGCCTTGGGGTTATAATTCATGATAAGTATGGCTGCCTTGTTTAATTTAACCCTAGTGACTAAGCCGCGTGATCTTTTGAGTAAACCCTAAACCCTAAACCCTAAACCCTAAACCCTAAACCCTAAACCCTAGACCCTAAACCCTAAACCCTAAACCCTAGACCCTAGTGACTAAGCCGCGCGATCTCTTGAGTAAACCCCATGAACTCTGACAGGCCAAGCTCTGAGCTTCCAGACCTCCCTCAGACGCGTCGCGTTTCCGCCGGAGATGTGCGGGAACACGGATGAGGGTGTAGGATTTAGGGTTTAGGCTGACCCTAAAACTCCAAACCCTAAACCCTAAACCCTAAACCCTAAACCCTAAACCCTAACTCCAAATCAACCACAGCAGGTACTTTTCATAGGTTTTAGACCCCGAAGTAGGTAGTGTTTGTACACCCGGGGTCGGAGGGATAAGATCCTTCGCTATGGAGGCTATGGAGGCTTCCCTGAACCCTGAACCCGGGTTTAGGGTTTAGGGTTTAGGGTTTAGGAATCGGAGCCCAAGACCCTAAAGCTCTTATTTAACTCATGGGACCCTTGAGGATGCGGCGAACTCGAAGTCGAACCAGCAGAATCTCGGCACCATCCACAGAGCCTCGGACTGATAATGTCAGTTGTTGTTGTCTGAGATAGTCAAGGTTTAGGCTTTAGGGTTTAGGGTTTAGGGTTTAGGGCTTATAGTTGATTAAGTTTTTATCTTTTAGGATGTCGACGACGACTTCTACTACTGCGACGACGACGACTACTACTAGCCCTCCTCCTACTACTACAACTACTACGACCACCACTACTACCACTACTCGTACCGCTGCGACTGCTACCCCACGGCTACCACTACTGCCGCAACTACTACTACTACTACTACTACTACTACTACTACTACTACTGCTGCTTTTATTGTGAGTATGATTACGATTTGGGGGCTTCCGAAAATAGGGGACCATAATATAGTGCTTTAAATAGTAAGACCCTTTAACAAGGACCCCAAATAAGATAACCTAATTTTCAGAAACTCCCACTTTTGTAGGTGGTATGATTACCATGACTGTGGAGAGCTGGAGCTCTACTGATGATGATTACCATTACTTTTTTTTTTTTTTTATCTTTATGGTGGCTATTAATACGGTTGATGATATAAATCCTGCATGACCTTAAGGACCCTGAACCATGGGAACTATGGTACATTCCTTATTCTGGGTAATGCAGGATTTATATCATCATCAACAGTATCACTATTGTTATGAATATTTTGATTATCACTGTTATTAGAATTCTGACTGTCTGCAGAGCGAGGCTTTATAACCTCCGCACCCTAAACCTGAAACCTTCAACCCTAAACCCTTAACCCTGAGTCCGAAACCCTAAACCCTAAACCCGAAACCCTCAACCCTACAGACCGAGGCTCCAACCTCTGCACCGAGATCATCGAGTACACCTCGGAAGACGAAGTGGCCGCCGCTCGACGAGAGGGGGGGGGGGTGGAGCCTCGAGGGGAGGGTTCCTTTATGGGCTTCCTTTAAGGGATAGGGTTTAGGGTTTAGGGTTTAGGGTTTAGGGTTTAGATTACAAAGCTGCGCTGATCATTGCTGGCTCTGGTGCAGGCAAGACCATTGCGGCTCTGCAGCTTGTTCTCGGGCAGATTTCCATCGCTTTCGAAGACTCCATGGATCCCTATAGGGAGCCTGCAAGAGGAGACTTCTGCGTGCCATCCTTGGGTCAGTGCAGGAGCATTGGGAGGGAGGCAGCGAATCCTCGTAACTTTCAGATTGGGATCTCAGAGACGCTAGCCGCCCAACCATGGATATCTTAGAATGTGAGCAGAACTGCGCTCCGATTACCCATGGGAGCGCTTCGCGCTTTTGCGATTCCTACAGTGGCTCCCGAAACCTTCTGGTAGTGATAGACGAGTGCCCTAATATGGCACAAGAGCCAACGGGCATGCTGATTCGCACGCTTAGGGGGCGGAGCATCCCCTACCTCCTCATGAGAGCATCCTCTGGCAGCCTAAGACCCTATATAGTTACATTTTGAAAGCAGGTACAAGCCCTAAGCCCAGAGACCCTAAACCTTAAACTGGCCCTACACCTAGTTTAGGGTTTAGGGTTCTTGGGTTTAGGGTTTAGGCCAGACCCTCAACGTAGCCCATAACGTGCCGAAGGATGAGGCCAAGGTCGTCTCGCAGGGTTAGCTGTTTCCCTGCGAAGCTAGGTTCCCCAGTAGTACCCTTTTGCCTTTTTTCTTTTGGGGCCCTCTTATTAAAACTGACGAGTTGGAAACAGGGCAATGTGGGGGCCTAAATAATTACCTATCCTAGTTTGGGGGTTCCTTGTTATAAATACCGTATAATGGGCCCCAAAACCCTAGTCTAATTATTAAGGCGCATATATGCACCCCTACAACCTAAACCCTAAACCCCAAACCCGAAGTCTTTAAGGGGCTACCGGGGAGCCTAGGAAGCTTGGCCTGGCTTAGGTCGGACTGTCGGACGAGCGGATTTGGGGGTTTTGGGCTTTAGGGCTTAGGTTTCGGGTTTCGGGGTTTGGGGCTTCTTAGGGTGTCGGGTTTAGGGTGTAGGGTTTCGGGGTTTAGGGCTTTTTAGGGTTTCGGGTTTAGAGTTTAGGGTTTCGCATTTCGGGGTTTAGGGCTTTTTCGGGTTTAGGGTTTTGGGGTTAAGGGCGTTTTAGCGTTTCGGGCTTAGGGTTTAGGGCTTTAGGGCGTTTGGGCTGAGGTTTTAGGGAGACCCTGAAGCCTGAAGCCGAGCATTGAACCCCAAGACAGACTTGAAGCCCGAAACCCTACAGCTTATCATATTATGGATCCCCTCAGCAAGTCCCTGTTGCAATCCTTTACCCCAAACCCTATAACCTAAACTCCCCAAGCCCAAAGCCCTCAAACCCTAAGCCCAAACCCTAAACCCTGAAACCCTACAGCCCCAAACCCGCAAACCCCTAACCCCTAATCTTTAAGCCTTTCCCAAAAAGCCCTCAAGCCCTCAAACCCTAATCCCGAAAGCTCTGAAGCCCCAAACCCCCAAAGCCACAAATCCTCTTAAGCCCCTAAGCCCTAAACTCTCAAGCCCTAAAGCTCTAATACCCTATACCCTAAAGCCTTAAAGCCCTAAACCCTAGACCTTAACGCCATGAACGCCAAACCTAAAACCATATACCCTAAAGCCGTACAGCCCTAAACCTTATACCCTAATCCCTATACCCCTAAAGCCCCCTAAACCCTAAACCCTAAACCCTAAACCCTAAAGCCCTAGAAACCCTAAACCCCGAAAGCCCGAGGTCTGCAACTTGGCCTCCGTGGCTTTGTCGGCCTTTGCAAAGGAGGGCCAAGGCTTCGACTTCCAGGGGCTCTACGAGGTCACCAAGGCCGGGATATGGTTTAGGGGTTTAAGGTTTAGGGTTTAGGGTATAGGGCGTCTTCTTGCGCAGTGGCAGATAATCCATGGAAAGATGGCGCCACCTCACACCAGGGTTTGTGGGTGGCGTCGTACTTCGCGTGAAGCGACTTCTTGTGTGGTTGATTTAGAACTCGGTGCGCCCGCTGTGGTAGGGTTTACG